TTTTTTATTTGATCCTATAAAGCCAGGTTGTAGAAATCAACAATCTACTTGCATTTGACATCATTCTGATCAAGAACATACAAACATCTTTGAACATTTAAGACAGACAAACATATAACACTTAAGACAGACAAACATATAAGACAATTTTAACGAGTGCACTCAGATGGTTTTGGCCAATTGAATTATAAAATCTTTTTGTTATGACTAGTCAAAATTTTTGCAGGTCAAAATTAAGAGGTCTCTTGTAGAATTAGGGTTAAAGGAATGAATACCCTTCTTGACTATAAATGTAAACCTTTTATAACAAACTTGAAACCAACAAGCAAACATTTTATAAATCATTTCCATAAACATTCTCTACATTCTTAGGTAAAGACAAGAGGAACATACAAAAACCTTTCATGTTAAAAATACAACTCTTACTTATAGCTTTCCTAATATTTTTCCATCTCATTAACTATTAAACTTCTATAACAACTTCAGCTTAAAATGTCCTTTTTCTGTACTATGATTGTTTTTTCTTTGCCTTAATTCCTTTCTCCCTGAATAAAGACTGAATTACTGTGCTAAATTTCATCTTGGATCCTATGTGCCCCATTGGTACCTGCTTCTCCGAGGATTTTCCCCGCCGGGCGTTCCAGACAGTGGTGTCCTCCTTGTTTCGACTCGGCCGAGCCCTTGTTGACCGCAGGCTTCTTCTGATTGCTCACCACTCGCCGCTAGAATTTCAGGTCCCTGTTCGGGCGCCACTTGTCGCGAACCGGCGACGCAGAGCGCTGTCCTGCAGTGCCTCAAACCTGAAAGAGCAGCAGGGTGGAGATGGGACAGAGAGAAAGGAAGGACGCCAAGACAAGAGTCTGATCAAGGCGACGTTTATTGCAGGCAGGCATCAGCCTTTTAAAGGCACATCAACGGGAAACACCTGACTCCTACAGCTAACATCAGATTTTTAACAGGAAGTACCTGACTCCTACAGATCTTTGGCTATCCGAGTTTCTCTCGTGCAGGGTCAGAAACAAGTTTAACACGTGCAGTCCTTAAAGAGGAACAAATGTTATCTTTCAAAAAGCCAATGGGCCATGGCTGGCTTCCCACACTGGGCAGGCTGGGTCATGTCAGAGTAGGTTGGGGGTGCTGGGAAAGGGGCCACCTCCTTGGCGGGTGTCCCAGCAGCCAAAAGCGCCTGTTGGCCCAGCTGGGCAGCCTGCTGCTGTAGCTACTCCTAGACCTCCAGCTCTGCCCTAAACTGTTGGTGGGCGAAGAGTACAACTGGGCCTCTGCTGGGCTCCCAGGGGTCTTCCTCAGCCTGTAGTCCCTGCTGAATGCCGGCTGCCCAGGAAGTGTAGTCCTGCACCTGGGCCGGGAGACCAGAAGAGCAGGGTGAGGGGGGCAGGTGTCAGGGACCAGGGGCACCGACACACCTGCAGCCCACCTGCCCAGATGGCCAGAGCTTTGGTTTCTCTGTTTCCACCCAACCCACTATTCTTGGGTCCATGAACCTCCCCTGAAGGGCACGCCCTCACCGAGACTGCCCGCACCATGGTGCTCACTGCCCTCCTGCTTAGCAGGCCTTCCTTGGTCCCCTCTCTGCTGTGTCTGTGAGGGATGGAGTTGAACAAACAGCTGGCTGACAGGGAAAAAGAATCCCAACTCTTGGGGGCTACAAGCCCTGGCCTTGTCCAAACACTGCACCAAGTATGTGAACGTGTTTTGCAAACTACAGGCTGGTGAGCAAAGGGTGACGACCTGGGGTGAAGGGCCCTGCTCACACTTTGACAAAGTAGCAGATGAGGGTTCCTAAACTATAGTCTGTTCACAGAGTCACAGTTTGAGCCTCCTGGTCTACCTGGCTTTGGGACATGGGACTCCTGCAGCCAGTTAGGTCCATATCCCCAGGTGCCACGTCCTGGGCACGTGGGTAGGCGCCATGAGGACAGTCCCATCGCCAGAGCTTCCTTCTGCTCTGCACCCACGGCTCTAGCAGGGAGTTACACGCAGGTGCTAAACAGACGCTGGCTGACCCAGAGGGTATTGTCTGGCACATCTAGGTCTCCAGCTAGGGGCTTTCCTAAGCTTTGTCACTCCCTGGCACTGGCTGGGCACCACATGAGGGCCGGTCACTCACCCAGGCTGGTGTTGACCCAAACCTGAGACCAGCCGCACTCCCTCTCCCCCACCCCGGAGCTGTCAGACTTTGTGGAGATGGCTCATGTTCTGCCTCCTACTGTTTGCACTTGTTTTCCCTCCAGAATGGGGGGCCTCGGTGCACATACACACACACACACACACACACACACACACATGCGTACCCCTCAAAGGGGAAGGCACCCTCACTGCAGCATGGAAACGAGCCACGAGGTCACCTGCTCCAGCTGGGCCCCGCGCCCATCCACACACAGCCGCAGGACCTCCCAGGCCTGAGCCAGAGGCCCTGGACACAGCTTCTGCACCCTACCTCCAACCTCCAGCAGTTCCTGCAACTGGCATCAAGGAGAGGACAGGGAAGAAGATGCTGTTCTTACAGAGGCTGAAGGGCTGACTGCCCTGAGATGTGTCCCTCCCTGAGCCACATCCTGCTGTGCCCAGCCAGCCAACACGGAGGCCAGGGGAGAGGGCCTGCAGGGGCCGTGCTGGAAGGCTGTCAGCTCTCACCTGGCGCTCGGTGCCCAGAAGCTCACGCTCCAGTTCCTCTTGAGACCCAATCTGGCCCTCTGCCACATGCAGGTCCCGGCCACATCACTAGGGAGGCTTGAGGCTTTCTCCTGAGGAGAGAAGGCCATGGGGATCAGGGACCAGGGACAGGGCCTGTGGCTCCACCCACCCCAGCAGGGCCTGCTGCCTGCCACCCAGTGCCTGCTCCAGGGTCCTCCCTGTTCTCTCGGTCCTCTCCCAGGCACTCCCTTCCTGTGGCCACTGCTTCTGGCTGGCTCCTCATGAATTCTTACAGCCTTAGCATCCTCTCCAGTTGCCGGCCTCTGGGGTGACAGCTCAGAAGTTAGTTGTCACTCCTTGGGCACAGCTGGGCCAACTGAAGGGTTGACCTAAAGGAGGGGGTTATTCATGGCCTTTTCCCTAGCCTGAAACTCGGGATTCAGGGACAAGGAGGCACAGGAAGACCATGGGAGGCTGTGGATATTGGGAGAGAGGGGTAACTCTGTGGAGAGGTAAGCAACACCCAGCAAAGGCTCATCCTTCTCTTAACAGCTGTATGGCCTGGGGCCGTGGAGTGGGAATGGTCAGCTGTGGTAAGGCTCCCTGCACCTCTCACCATGAGGCTGCCAACTCCTGCAGTGACTGAAGTTGCCCACAGAGCCTCTTCTGCACCATAGGTGCCTCGGGGCCAGTGAGGGCTTGGGCCCTCTGCTCCAACCCCTCCATAATAAAGAGCTAGTTCTTTTTTTTTTTTGGTATCAGGGATCGAACTCAGGACCTTGCACTTGCAAGGCAGGTGGCCAAACCACTGAGCTAAATCCCCAGCCCAAGAGCTAGTTCTTGCTGTAGCACCTGCCAACATAAAAGTCCCTGCCAGGCCCAGAACAGGTGACTCTTATCCATCTACCTACTGGCCTCCCTGCCTGTCCATCCACCCCTTACTCATCCAAGCCTTCATCAACTCACTCACCAGCTCACACCCAGCCATTCGACCCTTGGCTTGGTCTCACCCATCCATCTGCCCACCCATCCATCCACCTACGTGACGTGGATGGTGCACCTGAATGGTGCCCTCAGGGAGCCCAGGATTTAGCTGGGAAGGGTGAAGGCTGTGTAGTGTGGGCCAAGGAAGGGAGGGGATGGAGGCAGCATACTGGACCCCGTCGTTTGGTTAAGAACATCTGGTTAGCTTGAAGGTTAACATTCAAAACGTGGGGGAGGACATGTAGAGGGCGTGGGGCTGGCTGGAGCAGGTGACCCTGAGGGAGCAGAATGTGCCAGGGAAGAGGAAGCGAGAGAGTAGAGAGATACCCAGGCTGGGGTGCCGGGATGTGACAAAACCCCTCCTCTCCTCAGCCCACCACCATCCACTCCGTGTCCACACAGTGTGGGATGTCCACGCTGTGGCACCTGGTGCTTCCTAATGAGACTGAAGGTAGCTGCCTGATCTCCACCATAGTCCTGACTGTTCACCAGGGCCAGCTTCTCTTCCACCCAGACCTCTAGCTCTCACACGTGTAGAAAGTACTGCCAAGAATGGGGCTGATTCACCTTGGTGAGCTCAGGCAGGCCCCTCCACCACCCTGCAAGGACATCCTGCTCGACAGCAGCCTGCACAGAGGGCCTGAGCCGTGCAGGAACAAGTCAGCTCATGCAGGGACCACAGACCCTTCCTGCCCCTTCTCCCTCTGCAGCCTACCTGCTGGGAAGCAGCCACCTGCTGCAGGCTGTGGGAGCCTCACATGCCTGCTCCAGCTCTGCCCAGTGGCCTTGCAGCTGCCGGCACTGCTCTGTGACGTGCTGTGCTTGAGATGCCCAGAGGCCACTAAACTCTGGCCAGAACTCAGGTCCCTCTGCACTTGCCCCTGGTGGGCTCTCACCTCGGTCTGTAGCTCCTGCCACAGACAGGAGGTGGGGAGCTGGGTGGGATTTCTTTAACTGCAGGCCTGAGTTATAGCAAAAGCCCCAGGGAGAAGTGGGCAGAGGTTTGGAAATCAGCACCCGCAAGGAGAGGGACTTAGAGGCCAGGTGACCCTGAGCAGAGGGCTTTGAAAGTCTGGGAATGGCATTCAGGGAACCTGAGATAAAAAGAGGGCCACTGCCTTGTGCTTATACTGAAGGCTCTGGGTATTGTCCCGGCACCGGGCATGTGCTTAGCCACCCAAGTGAGCTCCAAGCTCCCCAGGCCGAACTGGTACAGCCGAACTGAGCCTGCCCTGCAGGCGCCTGGTGGCCAGGTGGCCCTCCAGGGACTTGAGCCTGAGAGGAAGGAGAAGAGAAAGGAGGGGCTGACAACAAGGTGGGGAGAAGGCTCCTGGTCCCTCCCATGGCTGGGCCAGGGGTACTGGTACGCCTCCTCTGAAAGCAGACAGCTGCCGGCGCAGGGCCTCACCTCACCACCAAGAGGACCCCAACTTTAGGGAGCGAGGCCTCTGGCCCTTTCACACTAGAAAGAGCCTGTGCATAAGGGAGAGCAATTTGGACATCTCAGCCCGTGCAGATGCCACTCTAAGGGGAGTGACACAACTGGACGAGGACAGACTGGAGGGGAGTGGACAGGGACGCACCCCTGATGGCACTGCTGGGCCTCCACCAGAATGGCCTGGGAAGTGACCGTATGCTGGGCCTAGGGGATGAGGGCAGCTGCCTCGCTGGCCAGCACCTGGCTCTTGCTTTCTAGCGGTGATGCCATTCCTGCAGCCCCTGCCTTAAGCACAGGTCCTGGCCTGCTTCCATGCATCGCAGGGCTCCCTTGAGCTGTTGTATCTGCTCAATGGCATCCTAAGGCGGCCGCAGGGGCTGGCCTTCTCCCCGCATGCTCCTTCCTCCCTGGAGGACTAGGTGCTGACCACACACTGGGCACACAAGTACAAGGCGACTGAAGGGTAAAGCCACGCTCCACCTGCTGTGGTCCAGAGGCCTCCACAGGCTGCAGATCTGACGGGGCCACACTAGGGGCAGCAGGACATCCAGGCTGTTTCTCCCCGCTCTTTTCTTTTTGTAATGGGGACTGAAGTCACAGCCTTTGCACTGAGCTATCCCCAGCCAGTTTTTTGTTTTTCACTTTGAGACAGAGACTAAGTTGCTAAATTGCCCATGGTGGGACTGAACTTGCAATTCTCCAGCCTCTGCCTCCCAGAGTGCTGGGATTACAGCCCAGGCTCTTTATTTCCTGCCTGCTCCCACCCTGCCCCAGGCCCCTTTCCAGGGGCCCTGCAGCAGCCCCAGGAGCTGCTCCTGCTGTCCAGCCTGGTGCAGCTTAGCCCCACGCTCTGCCATCTTGTGCTTCAACTCCTCCCACTTGCGACTTAGCCCCTGAAGGCTGGTCTGCAGGTCCTCCAGGGCATGTGGCCTGCTGCACTACAGCTGTCTCCCAGCCTGGAGTGAAGACAAGGCCCAGGGCACTTTTTTCTGGGTGGCTGGACCGCCAGCAACCATAGTAGCCTGGACCTGGGTGGGAGGGATAGGTGATGGGCCATAGCTGCTTTCCATGTGCTGCCTGGGGCCCAGCAGTGAAGAGGTCCCCAGCTGTGGCCGAGGCAGGAGACAAGCAGAGCAGAGGTAGAAGCAGGTGAGGGCCTTGCTCTGGGCAGGGGCAGTCCCTGTAGCTTGCCCTAGACAGTGGAGGGGGTAGTAATGGCAGCAGCTTTCTGTGCTGGTTTGGGTGCCAGGGCAAGGGGACAGACACCAAGCTGAGTGAAGAGGGGAGGTGGGGGGCTGGCTCCAGGGTGACTTCTTTAGAGACTGAATCTAGAGAGGAGCAGCCTTGCACCCTCTGCCTGGCATCCCTACCTGCTGCAGGCCCTCCATGTGCCCATGGGTGGCTAGCAGCTCTCTCTGAGCCATTTGGTGCCACCTGAGTTTCTGCAGAATGTTGCCAGGTGCCCGGGAGGACTCCTCTGCCACTGCTGGCCACCTCTGCTCCCTCCACAGAATAAGCCCTGCTACATCCTGCTTCTACTCCTGCAGAGAAGCGGGAGAGAGTGAGGCCCCAGCCTGGGGGTGAAGGCTGGCGCTGGACCTGCCTCTAGGGTGAGGAGTTTCAGGGACCCTGTGGGGAAAGCAGGACCCAGAGCCAATTCTGAGGTGCAAGGAACGTGGAGCCTGCGGTTACTCTTTCCAAATGGAGACAGGGATGCTGTGCTCAGAGAGGAGAGTGCTGATCAGGTCTGCAATCTTTGTCTCCTCAGTTCATACACAGCCATCTTGCTCCGAATCAGCAGGAGCTCTGGGAGGGATCTGGGGTGGACAGGCCTGGCCTGGAGCTACCCTGGGGCTGGACAAAGTAGGCTCAGCTGGCCTCTGAGAGCCCTGTGGCCACAGCTCATGCTCCTCATCGAGGAACATGAAGCCCTGATGCCTGCCTCCAGGAGGGGATGCACGGGTGGGTGCCAGGATGCGTGGTGACACCCAGCACAGGGTAGGCTCTTAGGCGCTGCTTCTGGGTGGCCCCTCCCTCAGGAAGCCCCTCACCTGGAGCTGGAGGGAAGCCAGCAGCTGCTGCCACCTCTGCGCATTCCTCTCCTGGACCCTGGTCCACTTCGCCTGCCCGGATGCTCTGCAGCTGCTCTGACCCCGGAAGGTAGGGGTGGGCTCCTCTCTGCCCTGAGGCCCGCATACCCCTTCCCCTCCCCTCTCCTCCAGCCTGGGGTAGCACTCTGTGCAGCCAGGGAAGAAAGGGCGGCAGGCCAGACTCACTTGTGTGCAGCAGTGTGGAGGCTCTGGGGCTCCCTCACATCCTCCTGGGGTGCAGAAACCTGAGGTTATGCCTGGGAGGATGGGGTCAGCATTAGTTCACTCACCATGCCCCCAGGTGCCTCCTGCCCAGTCTGTCTTCCAGACCCCTGGAGATAAGATCCCTCCAGGGATGGGCAAGCCACACCCCAGGTCCCCATCCCTGGCACCACACTCCCAGGCTGTCCAGGCGTAGGAGAGCCTCGCAGTCAGCACAGGCCGCAGTGAAGCCATCCACTTCTCGGCCAAACCTGTACAAACTTGTAACCACTGCTGTCTCCACTCACTCACAGCCTTCAGCTCCCAGCTGCGCTGGCCCAGGAGCCTCCAGCTGCTGCAGCCTGTCCACGAAAACAGAGAGGGCCACACTGTATCTGGCTCCTCTCCCAGTTCCCTCCTCCCTCACCCCCGAGGCAGAGTGCAGATGTGGGGGTGGCTGGCAAAGGTCTGCAGTTGGCCAGCCTATTCCCTTGCCTCATGGGGACGACAGAGTGAATGTAACAGGCACAGTGCTGGGCACTCAGTAGCTCCATGCTCCCAGCGATGCCACACCTCACTCCCACTCGGGGCCCGCCAGCAGCCGACATCCAGGCTAGTGGAACACTCTGCAGCTCAGTCACACCACACACACCCCTGCCCATGGGCCACAGCCAGCCCTCGGGGAGCCTTTCAACAGGAAGGAAAAGTGCCCTTCTGCTTCTTGTGACCACACAGCTTGGGGACAGGCGGCTCCGCTGTGGGAAGTAGAAAAAATTTCTGCTCCTCTGTGTCGCTGTAGCCCTTAACCAGGCAGTAGGGCACAGCAAGCAGGGGGCAAGTTCTTGGGGGCCACTGGACACTTATCAGCCTCCCTCTGGAGGTCACTGCTTGAGGACTGCATGTGTTGGCCCTGGCTCCCTTCAGGAAGACGTGTGCTTGACTACAGGGACCAGTGGGGTCTGTGTCTCCCAGAAGGACAAGGACCCTAGTCTGGGTGGATCTGCCTAGTGGGCTGCATCTCCTGGGACCCTCCCAGCATGCAGACTGCCTGACCCAGGCCTTGTCCCCCTAGAAAACTGCCTCAGGTGCCATGCTGGACACCAGCCTGGGCCACTCCTGGTGACCACTCTTCCTGCCCTCCCTTTCTGGGCCCCATCTGCCCTTGCGTCCTGACCTCTCCTGCCAAAGGTGGATCTCCTCCTGCACCTCTCTGTACTTCTTCAGCAGCCTCTGGGCTGAGGCCACGTACACCAGCTCCTCCTCACTGTGCAGCTGAGCCTGGATACCCTCTGCCCCACGCAGCAGCTGACAGCTCTCCTGTAGTCAGCTCTGCTGGGTCTGTGCTCCAGCCTAGCCCTGGGCTGGGTCCCTGGGTCCTGTGCTTGCTTCAGCAGCCCCTGCAGCACCTCCGCCTGTTCCTGCAGGTGCTGGCTCTCCAGGGGGCCTGACTCTGCCACCCTGAGAGACAGGGCCACTGCATGGTCAGGCCTACCCTGGGCCCAGTGCCCTGGGCATAGGTCCTGTGCACAGGTGTGTCCCAAGGAAAGGGGTGACAACTGTGAGCGCCCACTCACCGCGATCTAGGGACAGCAAGAATATGTGGTCCTTCCTCTCCGAGAGGGCCCACGCGCCTCTACCAGAGCCCCTCTGACAGCACACCCCACCCCAATTCCTGTCCCCTCCTCCCTGTGTCGCCCTACTCGGGCCTTCCCTCTGCCTCCACTGCCTCCTAGGGTTCTGTCAGTGATGAACCTGGCTGTACTTTGTGGCTGCCCTTTGGAGGTAGTGGATCCTGCTCTCCAGCACCCGGACCTTCTGCAGGGTCAACTGCAGGGCGCCGTGGATGTCCTCGGAGCGCTGTGGTTCCAGGGCTTCCAGCTGGAGTAGCACATCTTGCAGTTGGGTCTGCGGATCTACATTCCTGTGGGAGACCACACACTTCCACGCTTCAGGCCAGCGGCAGGCCCTTCTCCTTCTTCAGGGCTGCCAGTACTCCCACCTAGATGGAGGGCATGGGGATGTCTCCATCACACGGTGCCTTCCTGCCCATCCCAGGGCCACGGCCAGATTCTTGCTTGCCAGAAGTTGCCAGACTATCCCTCTCCCCCGTCTCATACTGCCCAGCCTCTCTGCCTGGCATTGAGGGATGCCCTGGGCCTCAGCTCTGCCCCGACCCATTCTCACTAGCCTGTGCTCCCGAGTCTCACCTCTGGCTCAGGTCTGCCTCTTGTCACTGGATTTTTGTAGAGTCCCAGGATACCTCTGCTTCAGTTGCTCACCAGGGCGGGTGACCTTAGTCTGTGGCCAAGGCAGTGAGGAAGCTCTGGGGAGAAGAAGGACCCAGGTCTGAGGGGCATTTTTGCTTCCCACAGCACATCAGGACTGTGGAGGGCTCAGACAGACCCTGCTCTGGAGTGCTCACACTGCCTGCCTCTGGTAAGCAGCAGCAGGCCTCCTCACCTGTCACCAGCACAATCAGGACAGCTGCTTCGTTTCCTCCCCAGAAAGCCAGTAGCTAACGCTGGGCCTGGGGCACAGCAGTGAGTGACGGTGGCTGCAGGAAGATGGGGAGGCAAGCACCCAAGATGCCCTAGGCTCCAAGGGGCTGTATCTCGTATCTGAGCTGCATGACCTTCAAGTTGTCAGCCTGGGGTCACCGTGACTGGAACAGGTCTATCTGCTCCCCTAGCCAGGGCTGGAGCTCCCCACAGGAGCTGTAGAAGCCAAACAGAGCCACCATCTCCACTAACCCAGCCCTGTGGCACTGAGGAGAGGTGGACCCAGGGCTGGGGTGAGGGTCAGTGTCCTGCTGCTCAGAGCAGGTCCGGGATGATCCTCCCCACCCAAACCCATTAGCATTTGCAAGGTCCAGGGCCAGAGGGTGTCCTTGCCCTTCAGCTGGGCCCATATCCTGCCAGAGGCCTGTTGGTACTCAGCAGAGGGAGCCAGGGGAACTTAGGTAAGGGCCTTCCTCTTAGGTCAAACCCATGTTTTCTGCAGGCCTTGGCTCTTTTCTGGGTGGCCCCACAGGCCGTTCTAGATCTCTCTAGCAACTTCCTCCCTGGCCTGTGTGCTCTGGGCACTCTGGCCTTAGCTTCCTCCACTGGGCCTCCTCCTGGCCTTTGGTCAGGTCCTGGCCAGCTTTCCCAGGGTTGCCTGCTCTCTGCTTCAAGACTCAGTTTAAATGTCTTATTCTTGAGGTGCCTCCCTGACTCCAGACCCTTGACCTCAGCCATGACACAGCTCCTCGAGGCATGAGGCCTAGCCATAGGTGGGGAACATTTCTTGAGCAAGGAGCATTACTTTTGTCAGGATTCACAGGCCCTCACTGTCCTGGCTCAGGAGATCCTGTGTCAAGTATGGTGCTGGGGCAGAGGTCGAGGTCGAGGTCAGGCTCAGCAAGGAGACCGTCCTCAAGCTTCCTCCTGGAGGGTCCAGGGCAGACAGCACCTATTCCAGGGAGGCCAGGGTTTAAACCAGACAATTGCTAACACAGATCTATTTTTAAAAATCATTAATTATGTGGCTCTGGGAATAAACAAAAAAGGACAGGGAGAGGGTGGACCTTTTAAACCTGGGAGTGAGAATTGTCACAAAGCCGGTCAGAACTCACAGTCCCGTCCCCAGCCAGCTACTGATGAAATGGCCAGGCTACCTGCACAGCCTGGAGGGTGAGAGCTGAAGCTCCAAAGTGCAGAGGTGAGGAGGCTGGGCAGAAGGCTCCCAGGAGACAGATGAGGGTAGAGGGCCCAACTATAGGCCCAGGTTTGGGGTTTTGATGGGCACACCCTGATCTACATTCCCAGCTTCTTGCAAGGGGGCAGCCCCCAACGGCTCTCCATGGTGCTTTTGGAAACCAAGGGCTTGATGAACTGGGGCAGGAGTCTCAGAAAACACCAATCAGGCCACTTCAAACTCAGAAGGACTATCAGGTGGGAGAGCTGAAAAGGGCTTAGAGTCACTCTAGGCCTGAAAATAAAGTGACATCCCCCAAAGAGCCTGGTTAATGTACAGGACGGTGATGGGCGAATTGAGCCTCGCCCAGTTGTTCTTGACGACCTGCGGGATTTGCCAGCTGGGAGACGCTGCTGAGAGGATGCAGGGTCCACATCTGTGGGGATCATGAGTATTGGTTGTAAGTATTGTTAACTTTAGTAACTCTATATGTGTTAAAAATAAAGTGACATCCCCCAAAGAGCCTGGTTAATGTACAGGACGGTGATGGGCGAATTGAGCCTCGCCCAGTTGTTCTTGACGACCTGCGGGATTTGCCAGCTGGGAGACGCTGCTGAGAGGATGCAGGGTCCACATCTGTGGGGATCATGAGTATTGGTTGTAAGTATTGTTAACTTTAGTAACTCTATATGTGTTAAGTTTCTCCAGTTTAGCAGGTAGAGTGTTTCCTTTGTGGAATTCCTGAAAGTTACAGTTTCTTATCTTCTTATCCGGGTTACTACTACTCACGTGGGTTGTTTTGGTGAACCTGTTTGCTCTTTTCCTGTGTGACCTTTCAGTTACTATGGTAAACCCAACCCGTAATAGTTTGTGGTTTTTTTGCTTTAAAAGGCCGGTGCTTGCCGGCAATAAACGCCGCCTTGATCAGACTCTTGTCTTGGCGTCCTTCTTTTCTCTCTGCCCCATCTCCACCCCGCTGCTCTTTCAGGTTTGAGACACTGCTGGACAGTGCTCTGCGTCGCCGGCTCGCGACACACATCCACGTCCACTCCCACGACCAGGAGAAAGCCACAAATGCCCTCCTATTCGGTCCTCTGTGTTGCCAGCCTGCGGTACCGTGAGTGACGCCTGTGCAGCGGCTCCTGTGCTTGCTCGTCCCGCTGCCAAAGCTCAATCGCGAAGGAGCGAACCGAGCGCTCCAGCCGCAGGCGGCGCAGCAGCAGGACCTCGGAGGGCTCCTGGTCCCGCCCACCACACGAGCCCCATGAGCGCCTGCAGCCGCTCACGCTACCGCGAGGTCACCTCCGCAGCAACTTCCGAGTACTGAGAAAGGGGGTGGGGCTGAGCCGCGGCAGGGGCTGTCCTCCCCGCCCACCAGCCGGGACTTTCCAGCCCCGCCCCACCCGGAAACGTGTGTACGCTCCCACCTACGGAGCCACGCCCACAGCCACGCCCCTCCCGCGGGACTTCCTCACTGCGCATTTACCTGCTGTACCAGCAGGGCTGTCTGCAGCCGTTACTTACGCTGTGCTGCTGGGTTGCAGAGCAGTTGCCACGCTCCCTGGACAGCTCCCGTCAGCTTGCGGGGATCGGGCTGCGTAGGGGGCCCCTGGGCGCTAAGGTCGCGCCCCCTCTGCACGAGGTCTGCGCACACATCCTGGTGGCGGTGGAGCTCTGCTTCTAGGGCCTATCAGAGGAGTTGGGCTCAATGACTGTGAGGGAAGAGGATCGTAATGGCGGGAGGTGAAGGCCTGCAGGGGGTGAGGAACCGACACTTTATGTTTCTGCAGGGCCCCTGTGATCTGGCTGCGGTCCGGGCCCAGCGCTGTCAGCTCCAGCAACCGTGCGCGCCCTTCGAGCAAGGCCGCTTCCTCCCAGCTGTGCAGCAGCTCTGCCCGCCCCAGAGTCTGCTCCAGCAGGGCCCTCCTGGGGACAGCAAGGCCTCCAGCAGCTTGGGGAGTCGGGCTGGGGAGGGGTCAGACCCTGCCCTTAGACGGGATTTTTCTTTTCTCTGGGTGTGTGTGTGTTGTGTGGTAATGGGGATTGAACCCAAGGCCTTCACATTGAGCTATGTGTCCAGCCTTAAATAATTTTTTGCGGGGGGACAGGGTCTCACTAAGGTGCTCAGGTTGGGCTTGAATCTTTGATCCTCCTCCCTCAGCCTTCCAAAGTGCTGGGGTTATAAGGATTCACCACTATGCCCAGGTTAGATTTTTATTATTTGTCTGTTTTCCTTAGTATTGTGTACGTCCTTTTCACTGCTAAGTTTCTAGCAGCTAGAATGGTGCATGGGACAAAGTAGACAAGATATATGTCCATTTTGTGAATAAGCTAATCAGAGGCTATCTAGAAAGGACAATGTTTTACCAAAAGGATGAATCGCTGATGATGGGATTTCAAACACACACAGAAGGCTGATCTTTTTAGAGGGAGCCCTGAATCCATAAACCACCTTCTCCTCTGTGGCTGGGATGGGCACATATAAAGGTGGGGTTGTGAAAGGAAGGCCTCAGCCTGCTGTGAGGGTGGCTCGCCTGTGGGCCCATCTACCCAGGGCCTGGAGGCGGCCCTTTTGGGGCAGAATGCTGGCCTCCAGTATGCCCAGCCTCTGGCTGGCTGCACTGTGGCTGCGCTGGCTGGCAGGGCTCTGGCCTGGTTCAGCATGAGCTCCATGGCTTTTGGAAGCTGTCCCGAAGGGCAGCCTTACGTTGGAAGCATTGGGCCAGGGTTTCCAGCCATTCCAGCTGCAGTAGCCTCTGCTACAGGGCCTGGCTCCAGGCAGCCTGTGCCCGCTGCAGCCCTGCCCAGCACCAGGACAGCTCCACAGGGCCCAGGCCCTTGGCAGGCAGGAAGGGCTTGTGGTTCTGGGCTGGGAGCACTGTCTGCAGCCTGAAGAGTAGAGCCTGTGTGTCACCTTGCTGCTGTAGCCAAGGTGGCTTCTCCTGGGCACAGAAGGAAATAAAGGCTGCCAATAGCTGGTGCATGGTGGGCAAGGAGTCTGGGAAATCCTGTGCCTCCAGCTGTACTTACTTCTCTGTGATCCAGTGGAGCAGGTCAGCCGCCCACTTCCTATACTGGGTCTGTAGCGCCTCGGTCTCCTGGACCTGGAGCAGGACCTGATGGAGGTAGGGGAAATGGTCAGGGCACCCCTGGAGGGGAGACCTTCCCTTTTGGATGCTGGGTGTGGCCTGATTTGTCCAGGTGGGCTGTGGCTCCTTCCTCAGCTGAGTAGGGGTCACCAAGAAAAATAGGGCATTGCATGCTCAGACCCAGGATGTGGTGTGCCCTCTCTATGACTGGGGTGAGATGTGTCCTGTCTCCTCCCATCTTATTTTACCCCCTCTGATCCCACCTTTGGGGGTTCAGTCCTCCAGGCTTTTCTTTCTGGACCTTCTTGCCCTTCTCTGTGGCTATCACTCCCTAAGGCAGCTCAGAGCCCTCTGCCTGTGTCACCCCCACCCTGAGACACCCACCCTGAGGACAGCCCTCAAAGGCCTCAGCCTCTGCCATGGCCTCCAGAGAGTGAGGGAGCCACCCAAAAGCATGACTCAGTGCAGCCCCTGGCCAGGACAGCCTTTTCTGCTCCTGTCGTTGCAGACTCCTAGCTCTCTAAGCCTTTTAATCCATTGGGAGCTTAGTCTGTGAGTGAAGGATAGCCAGGGACAGGAGGGGCACTGTTTCCCTGGCTTCCCCGGTATGTGGTATGTGGGTGCTGCTCCGAGTACTTCACTTCTGCTCCCTTAAATGCTCACATTAAATGCCTTTTGTTATCCAGGCACCGTGATCAAGGCCACAAAGCAAGTTAAGTGGTGGGGGTAGGTTTCAAACCTGGGTCTTCTGAATGTGGGGCCCAGGCTTATACCTCCTATCCTCAGTGCCACAGCTCTGCCCTGTTTCCCTGTCCCACTAACCTTGGAGAGTCTCCACGGGGCTGTCTGCCCCTATTACAGTGGTAGGTCGTGATGGAGCACCCATCTGGCTGTAGGGCTGCCACGTCCTCGGGGGCCAGCAGCTGAGCAATACCCAGCTCCTGCTCAGCCATGTGGAAGGCACAGGTGAGGTTGTGCAGTGGCTGGCTGGGGTGCAGGGAGCTGTAGTCCATCAGGTCTAGCCTGTCAGTAGGATTTTGTTCTCCCTCAGTGTAATAGACTGTAAAATGCACATGTTTGTCCTGGCTCTTCACAGCTCCTGTGACTTCCTCTTCCTCTGACCCTGAGACCTGAGGCTCTAGCTGAAGTGTAGGCAGGACTCTGATGCAGGGGCTGGGACAGGGGCTGGTGGGAGAAGTTCAAAAGGGCAGGCATGCCTGGCTTGGGCAATTTAGTGACTTAGAGCCTGTGTCCAAAAATAAACAGGGGCTAGGGGTGTAGCTCAGTGGGGAGGCCCTGGTTCAATCCCCAGTATTGAAAAAAATAGACAGGGCAGGCTGTAGCCAGGGAGAAGACAGTGAAGAGAACCAGGGACAGAAAGTGGAGAAGGCCGGGGTCAGAGCAAAGCTGGCCTATTCCATGACTTGTCCCAAGGATGGGGAGGGGCTGACCTAGCCCTCCTTCCTTCAGGACCCAGGGGCTGAGATGATCTGGGGCATTGTCAGGTGAGATGGAAGAGCCCAGGGCAGTGATACTGGAGGGTTTGGGCTGCACCACACCTGTGGGCATGGATGAGTGAGTGCATTAAAGTCCAGCCCATCACTCCAGCTGCAGGAGAAGTCGGTGATGTCCATGTTGGCGTAGCTGGCACCAGACCAGCAGAGCTTCCTTGGCAGCCAGCTGCGCTGCACTGGCCCCAAACTCCTCCTGGTGGGACAGGGAGACGTGGTCACCATATATGGGGCCCAGTGTGGGGGCAGCAGAGCCTGCAGGCTGTGAGGAGACAGACTGGTACAGGACTAGGCTCCTTTCTCTGTGGAGCATCTGATTTTACCTGATGTCATCCACAGAGGGTAGGGATTGCAGGCGAGAGAATAACTGTCTTCCTAAGATGCTGGGCAGTGGAGAGCTGTCACCTGTCATCTGTCACCTGTCACCGCAGAGCAGCTGGCTTTGCATTGCAACTGGCAACCACAGTGGCAACAGCTTCTAGTTTTGAGCCCTTCTGATGGGCCAGGCATGGTGTTGACAGACCTGCGGGTTCCTCATGGCCGGGTGTCATTAGACCTAGACCCTTTCTTGTCCCTGCAGGTTTTCTGTGGGTTGGCGTCGCTATTATCCCGTGGCTTCCAGCCCTCTGAAGAAGGTGCTTAGTGTTTACATTCCACAGATGACAAAAGGGTACAGCAAGGAAGACCGGGAACTGCCCAGCACCCCCAGCTTGCATGGGAAGGGACCCAGGAACCTCTAGCAGAGAGCCCCTGCCCGCCATACCCAGTGCCTGAGGGTCAGTCCCCGCCCCTGTTTGGGATAATTCTCTTTTTCTGCCACCATTCCCCCTTTCATCTCTCCACTGTGTCGTCCCCCACTGTCATCCCCCCGCCCGCCTGCCTCCCTTCTGACTTCTTCCGCTGCCCCTGCCTTCCCTCAGTGGACTCTGCTCCCTTCTACTCCCTCCCCCAGCTCCCAGCCCTCAGACCCTACCTCTCCAGGTTTCCTGTCCCGTCTCTGGTTCTTCCAGCACGCTTCCTCCTGCACGCTCCCCTCACCACAGTTGTTTATAAATTCAGAAGTGAGGCTGAGCAGGCCCTCGAGCTTGGGTAGGAAGGACACTAGGCACCAGCAGGGGGCAGGACAGAGTATCAAGGCCTGGCCAGGAGGCCAGACCCAAGCCCCTGAGCACTGAGCTGGGCCTGAGGAGAAGGGGCCAGGCTGGGGTGGGCACTGGAGGGAGCAGGGCAGCCTGAGCCTGACCACATCCATGTCACCAGGGAGGGCCTGTGAGCCCCTGCTGTTCTCAAGGGGCCAGGTGGTGGCTGGTCCTGGGCCCCAGAGACCCAGTTGCTTCCTGAAGGGGCTGAGGTCAGTTTGACCCGCCCACTTTCCATCCATTTCCCCAACACGGGGCCCAGCTCCCCTGAGGTTCGAGGCCAGTGTGAGTTCTGAGGTCCTTCTGATCTGCCAACTCTGTGGCTTGTTTTGTTTGTTGGGTTTTTTTTGGCGGGGGGTAGGGGAGGGACAGGGTCTTGCTCTAGTCCAGGCTGGCCTCAAACTTGTGGCTATCCTCCTGCCTTAGCCTCCAGGAATTATAGCTCCAAGGCTTCTTTGCATGGTCTGCTGGAGTTGAGTTTTTCGGCCACCCTGCCCCTTCCCTCAAGAGTGACCTGTCCCAGGCCAGGTGTGCGGCCCCAACTCTAGTTCTCAGGGCAGCTCACAGCAGCGTGTCCAACATTCTGGGTTCAGACCCGGGGCTGAAGGGTGAATGTTGATTTTGTGGATTCTGTGGGAATCATAAAGGCTGTCCGTAAAGGCCCGAGTCAGGGCCATGGCTGGGCTGGGGCATGGGGCAGCGGGGTCTGAGACATACCCTGTCCAGGGAGACGTGGGAAATCTGGAAACTCAGAATGACCCAGAGGAGTCCCAGGATAAGTGTCTGGTCTCTGTCCACGATGTTCTGGCCCAATGAGGGGTATTGGCACCTGTGGGCACAGGGGCTGGGCTAAACCACAAAGCCTGTATTCCCAAGAGGACTCAGAGGAACCAAGATCCCAGGAGGCCAGCTGTGGGACAGGGGGGTCCTGGAATCCAGCCTACCCCAGCCAGGTGGTCCCCAGGGAGAAGCAGGATGGGACATGGCAGGAAAGAGAAGGCTTTCTGTGTGGTTGGAGTGTAGGCCGGTCCCCCACTCTGGGCAATGTTGCAGCCTGGTGAACTGGTCTGAACCCTGGATAAGGGACTCCCTTTATATGAACTATGGGGAACCGGGCTGAAGCCAGTGGTCCACCATGGGAGTTGGAAGTGGGAGTCATAAGTGTAGATGTGTGGGCTAAGCCAATAGCAGCCAGTGTCTGTGTCAGGGTCTCTAGGAGGTATCTGCAGCCACCTGGGTCACACCTGGGTTTCATCTCCAGTGGAGCCTGGAGCAATTCAGAGCCCCAGGCCCCACCCAGTTAGACTCAGGCCAAGGCCTGAGATTGCATTTGAAGCAGCACTTTGGCTCTTCTGTGCTCTGCAGTTGGGAGCCTCTGCCTCCCAGCATAAAGGACTCCTGCCTAACCCCTGGTACTGGCCACAAGGGGCCCTGGGTCCCTTTTTGGCCTCTTCCTGTCTCAGGCAACCTCAGCTCTCCCGCTTGCTGAGATCCTTCTCCCTTCTGCCCGCTTCCCCCTGGCCTTCTCAGTGGCTGGGCCCTTCCTGTTTCCCACTCCCACCCAACCTCCCATACCCTCATGCCAGGCTTTGCTGCTCTGTATCCACATTTATGAAAGGAGAAGGTTAGGAGAACACTAAGAGTCATTCAGCACAGAGTCCTACTGCTCTCCCTGATTACAGAAGTGACATTTTCAGGCCCAGCAGCCGCAGCGGGTGGGTGCCATCAGCCAGTTCTGTGTACAGGTTCTGGATCTTGATTTCCACCGGGGAGGGGATGGGTCAGGCACAGGGTTGGCCTGGGACCTGGCAGGTGCAGGCAGAGCAGCTGCCATGAGGGGAGGAGCCCTGTCCTTGGTTCTGCCAAGGGCTCCAGGACACACTCAGGCAGATGCCCCCACAGGCTGCCCCTGGTCCACTGGCTGAGCTGGGGCACCCCAGCCACTCTCCTGGCAGAGCTGGAACGTGTTACTGACCCATTTGGTGAAAGTCTTCTCCTTCATGTGCATGTGCCTAGCCTGCAGCCTTCGGACAAGGCCCAGCTCATACTCAGAAGCCTGACTGGATGGGACCAGGCTGGCCTCTTGTTGCCCATGTCCTGTAGCTGGGGAGCTGCTGGGGTTGTGGGGTCAAGCAGCCATCAGGCTCGCGGCCCTTTGGAGATGAGAAGCCCCTGAACATTTCCTGAGTCTGGAGGTGTCATAGAGGTGGGGAGAAGTGTGGATACTGATCACCCCACTCTCTGGTCCCTGAGGCTCTGCTCTGCCACACTGTCCCCAAGGTTGGTGGGTGTTGTGGCTTGGATCCTAGCCAGGTAGCATCTAGTGCTCCTGGCTGGTGTCCTACACTTGAGGCGCCCAGGGTCCAGCCCCCCTTCCAGGTCCTTCTCTAGGGACCCTGTGGCCAGACCCCACCCACAGTGGTTGGCTCTACTCCTTGGGTTGCCAAAGGCAGGAGGAAGGAAAGCAGATAGCTCACCTTGGCAATGGCTGGGTCCTGGGGAGGAGGCCCTGCTGGACAAGTGGTGATGGCAGACAGAGGGCTGCGCAGTGAGGGAGAGAGGCATCAGGAGAGGCTGGAGCTGGGACCATGCCACAGCCCTCCCCTGGAGCCAGCCTGTGGGATAAGGGCACACAGGCAGCCTTGTCCTTCTGCCTGCCACAGGGTGTGGCCCAGGTGGAGGTGGGGGCTCAAAAATACTCCTGATCCATGGTGGGGCCTCTTCTCTGTCCCTGTCCACTGCCTCCTGTAACTTTCCCTGCCATCAATGGGGGTTCTGCCTCTCAGGACCCACAGGCCCTGGAATGGACTTGTTGCCTCTGGTGGGAATATCAGAGGTGAGGCAGTTTGGGCGAGAGGCACCAAGGGGCAGAGAAGACCCACTTCCTGACCTGAACTGCCCTCCTGCACATGTAGGGGCCCTTGTGAGCACCTCCCACCATGTTGGCCGGCAGCTTTCCCACCCCAGGAGCAGCCATGGACACAGGGCTCATCCGACCCTGGATCTGAGGAGATCCCCCCTGGAAAGGGGATCCCTGGAGCTGTGAAAGCTGTGGAAATGGTAGAGTTGCCTCCAAAATCAAATTCAGCATTCACTGGTTTGGGCTCTGTGGAGCTGGCCGTGGCTGAGTGTGGAGGTTGGGAGTTGGCAAGTGCCTGCCTCTCTGGAGGGGAAGCGACTCCAGTCTAGTGCTTTCACACACCAGTCTGGGGTCACAGTCACCCACGTGTCGTGGTGTACCTACTCATGCAGCCCCAAGGCTCCGAGAGGGGGTGTGACACTCCTAGGTCCAAGAGGAGATCCCTTTCCGCAGCCTCGGTCTTCACAGGCCCTCTTGTCCTTGACTGGCTTCTGAATGCTTAGAGTGAATGAGCTGCTTTGTTGCTTGTGGCCCAGATCCAGTTTGACCCCAGGGACTGCTGCTGTTGGCCTCTTGCTCCCCACCCTTCAATTCAGGTTTTTTTTTTCTCTCTCTCAGTACTAGTGTGTGTGTGTGGGGGGCACTGAACCCAGGGCCTTTGCACTGCACTTTATCTCTAACCTTTCTTAATTTTTAGTTTGAGACAGGGTCTTATTAAGTAGCTGTGTTTCCCAGGCTGGGCTAGAACCTGTGATCCTCCTGCCTCAGCCTCCCATCCTCCCTTTAACACTGTCCCTGCAGGTCCTCATCACCATTCTCTGGCTCCTAGCCTAACCCCTTTACCTTTCTCAAACATGGCACCCCACCCCTATTACCTACCTGGGAGAAGCCAGACTGGGCCGATAGTGTGAACAAGGCTTTGATGCCCCCAGCCTCCTAACAGAGTCCCCTCCTCACATGCTGGACTGGACCTGAGCTCTCTTGTCCCAAGGCTGGGTGCCAGTTGGCCCCTTCTTCCCAACCTCTGTATTCTCCCAGTAGCAGCCCCAGTTGAAGTCCTGTTTTTTCCAGGAGGCCCCTCCCCACCTCCTTAGCCCAGAGATGACTGAGTTTACTTCTCTTCCTCCTAAGACCTGGGCACCATGTCTCATGTGGTGTGAGCACTGAGAACAGACTGAACAGATGTCATGGAGGTGGTGGTTTGTGTTGTGATGGGGCTGGGGACTGCTCCTCTTTCTCCTTAGCTCATGGGCTGCTAATGCCACTGCCCATTCCACAAGGGCCAGTTCCTCTTCTGCTGGTTGATTGCAGCCCTTGGTACAATGAGAACCCCATTGGTCAATATGAAGTTTGGACTACTTGTGTTGCAGGTAGCTTACTTTCAAGTTGAACTGGATTAAACAATATAAAAGGGATGCATTGGTTCATATAACTGAAAATCTAGCAGGAAGACTTCAGGTGAAGGCTGATCCCAAGTGATGTCTGTCACCACAAGCCAGAGTTTCCTCTGCCTTCCTCAGTGTCTCCTTTGTCTTCATGCTTGGAGGAAAGGTGGGAAGGGAAGTGCTCTACAGAGGGTCTGTGGGGCCAGTGGGAACCCAGGAGTGTGCTACAGGAGGTGCAACTGGGAGGCACGGCAAGAGGAAGGGTGCTTTGAGCCAGCCAGGGGCTCCACCCTTGCCATACGGCACCTTTGGGTGCATCTGAAGCAGGCCTGCGTCTCCTGGAACTTTGTCTCCAGTCTCTGAAGTGCCCACCCCATGGTCCCTCTGGTCCTGGCTTCTCACCTGTTGCAGGTGGGGCTGAAGCCTCCCCACAGTCTCTGTCTCCAGCTAAATGTCCCAGATGGAGCCTCTTACTGAAAGGATGCAGGGGCAGCCCCTCCTGGCTTCTCCCTCCTTTTAAGAGACCCAGGCGATCCACACTTTACTCCTGCGATGCCTGGCACAGGCACCGGAAGGGTGCCAGGCTGTCATTAGTTTATTATTTTTTAGTATATTGCTGCCAAAGTGAGCACTGTCATTGGTTTATCGATCAGTAGACTGTGTCTTCTTGGGTTTCCCAGTTCTAACTAAATAAGATTACAGAAAAAAAAAAAGGAATGGTGTTCTAATTCTAATTTGTTACTTTTCTTATTTCTATATTTAATGCAGTAATTGGAATTCTTCTGTAAGAGTTGTCCAACTGGATTTGTATTTTTTGTTGTAATAAGATATTCAAGGTGGTACACAGAATTTAAAGATGTAAACCCTGTTAAAATGATTCTAAATACTAGTATCAAAGAAAACTAAGTTACTAACTTGCCTTGGGAAATACGAGTTTAAGAAGGAAAAATAGTTCTTACGATTTATAGAATTGAGTGGGTTTCCGTTCTAACTAAATAAGATTACAGAAAAAAAAAAAGGAATGGTGTTCTAATTCTAATTTGTTACTTTTCTTATTTCTATATTTAATGCAGTAATTGGAATTCTTCTGTAAGAGTTGTCCAACTGGATTTGTATTTTTTGTTGTAATAAGATATTCAAGGTGGTACACAGAATTTAAAGATGTAAACCCTGTTAAAATGATTCTAAATACTAGTATCAAAGAAAACTAAGTTACTAACTTGCCTTGGGAAATACGAGTTTAAGAAGGAAAAATAGTTCTTACGATTTATAGAATTGTTTTGATTTTTGACTTAATATTGACTTCAGAATGAAATTTAAATTTTTATTTTATTTTTAGTTATTTATTATTATTATTTTTTGGTACTGGGGATTGAACTCAGGACCTGGCGCTTGTGAGGCAGGTGGCAGAACTATTGAGCTAAATCCCCAGCCCTGAAATTTAAATTAAAAAAAAATTTACATATGGACTTTTAAAAAGTGTCTAAATTTATATTACTTTGGGGATGATTTTTTAAAAAATGTTGAATAAAATTAATCAGACCTAACATGATTAAAAATTTTAAAAAAGAGGGTTGGGGGTTTAGCTCAGTGGTTCTGCTGCCTGCCTCGCAAGCACAAGGACCTGAGTTCGATTCCCTGGTACCAAAAAAAAATTTTTTTTAAAGGAAAAAAAAATAGAAGCACTCTGTATTAATTGCGTTGGTTAAATCCTGACATGCTCTTAACTTAGGCCCTTGTTTACTTAGCTACACCTCAGCGGTTCTGTCCTAAAAATGTTATCCTGCTACATCCCACGGAGAACCTAGGCAGAAAATGCTGTCCTTATCTTTACGCTATTTATCCTGGACACCCAGGCAGCAGCTGTGACAGGATGGCAGGTGACAGGGCAGGGAGAGGCAGCTCCCCCAGCGCGCTGAACCTGGCTCTGCGGGGTTGGGAGGAGCCTTTTGGTGGACGCCGGGCTCCGTGCTCCTGCGAGAATCCAGCAGGCGGAGCCCCAGGCCCAGAGCCAGTGATGCGGTGGCTGCGTCCCACAAGGTCCGGAAGGGGAGGAGCCCGGCCCCAGAGAGATGAATGCAGAGCCGATGCATAGGTTTGGAGTCTGGGAAGAACGAGTCCGTCTCGTGGCTGGGCCGAAGCAGGCGGGACCTGGGGACAGTGGTGACGGCTGGCGCTGGGAGCTTGGGAGCCTGAGGGCATTTCTGAGCGCAGCCCGTAAGGCACCAGCAAGGCACGGCCTTACTCACTGGTTGTGCTCCCTCCCCACACTCAGGACGGAGATCTGCACTTGGGGTGCACGCTCGATTTGCAGATTCCCTTTGGGATGGGCAGACCACTGTGCCAGACATATGGGCCCTCCTCCCCCAACACGGGCACACTGGGAGGGCCGCTCTGACACCAGTGTGGCCCAGGAAGGGCGGCTGGAGCTCTGGACAGACTCCAGGGTGTGTTGGTCCTCACTTGGTCACCAGCCCTCGATTTCCCTTTCCTGTGAACTTTTCATAGTATAACAGAAAATACTGAAGAAGTGGGCACTTTCTTTCTTTTTTGTTTCCTAAGAACATCGCCAGGGTCCCAGCCGGGAAGGGGCTTAGCTGCTGATGCTTCTCTTACCAGAGGTGGTGGGGTTGGATGGGGAGACCACACACTGCTCCAAGGAGTTCCTTCTATGGACAAACCCTAGCCCTGGCCCACTGCTCTTCAAACAGTCTCCTTCCTAGGCCTTTGTGCGGACGCAATCTGTCCATACCCACATACATACACACTGACACGTTTTAGAAATACAGATTCAGGGTTGAGGGGTAGCTCAGTAGCACAACACTTGCCTAGTATGTGCAAGGCCCTGGTTTATCCCTAGCACTGAAAAAAAAAACCCAAAACTAGAAACCAAAAAGCAAAACAACTAATAAAAAAGCAAGCCATACTCGTATGAAGAATATATGTGTATATAATTATGTTCATATATGACACCTGAGCACAGTGAAAGAAGCAAGACAGTTCTGAAGGGACAGGGGACTCCCGCTGGCATCTCCACTTCTGGAAAACCGTTTCTCTCCTCAAGCTGCCCCCGGTGGCCACCACCTCTGCACACCAAAGTGTCTCTCACCTTCCCAGAACTACCTGCCCATATCAAAGTACTCAAATCACAAACATTCCCCCTGCATGTCTGATTAATTTAAAAGTGCTCATTCAGATTAAAAGCTACATTGTGCAAGTTCTTCTCTTAAAATTAAAGGAAGCTGAAGAATGCAAGGGCTGGCATCTGGATAAATTCTTCCCCAAAATCGGAATTCTCTTTTATTTATCTAAGACAGGCTCTCGCTGTGTAGTTCAGGCTGGCCTTGAACTCGCAACAATCTGTCCTGCCTCAGCCTCCTGAGTACTGGGATTACAGGCATGCACCACCATGCCTGGCTAAATATTTTTTTCTTAGATGCATAGTTTTGACCCTGGTGTCACCAGAGGCAGGCAAAACGGGAAACAAGGGTGAAAATGTGGCTTTTGGAAGGCTGAGTGAGACTTGTCTGATTTCACTCATTTCTGGCACTGACGAAACCCAGGCCACTCAGACTTTGCTGCTCCGTGAATCTCTCCCATTGCATAAATAACAGTAAGAGGCACCTGCTGCCCTCTCCCTCAGAGCAAGGAGGGCAGAGATGCAAGTGGCCCCACCTGACCTAGGAGTATGAGCAAGTGGCCCAGGTAAACCTGAGGATTTGGGAAACACACCCAAGAGCCAGTGGCCAAGTCCTGCCTCAAGATGGCATTCATGAGCAAGCCACATGGCTTTGAAGAAAGGGGTTTATATAAAACATGTCTGTGTACAGCCTTTTATAAAGAAAAACAAGTGGGCATAATAAAAGTGCCTATTTTTCTACAAAACAGTGTCTAACTCATAGAATCATCTCTCCTTGTATATTCTCGACACTGCACACACCAAGGCATGGTTCTGCTGAGTTCAAGTCCCACCCAGGAGCCTTAGGGGATGGAGACTACACTAAATAATGAGAGAAAGTCTCCCCTCAGTGTGGTTTAAGCCTGATAAATAGATTTGCTATAATCTACTGGACAAACTGGTAAGAAAAGCTAATTGTCAGACTTCAAAATGACTTGAAATGACAACTAGAGGTCTTGGCGGGGGTGCACAGAGGCTGTGAGATCCAAATCCCTTATCAAGTACATCTTTGCCAGGAGCACCCAGGAAGGAGGCCTGGCAGGGGCGGGCACTGGGGCCTGGGACTGACGTGCCCCACTTACCTAGGAGAGGGGCACAGCAGACAAACCTGGGCCTTCTCTTTGGTAAATAGTCTGGAGGGAGTGGGAACCTTCTGCTTTTTTCTCTCCCCTAAATATAGCAGGAAACACAAGGAACAAAATAAATAAGATCATCTTTGCTGCCTCTTGGTGCTCTCTGAGGGACACACAGTGCTGAGACACTGTTCCCAATGACAAAGAACCCAGTATGGCCCCACACATTCATCTGCCCCGGGCAAGGCCCCCAGCCCTCTCTCCAGGCCCAGAAGCCCACCAAGCCCACCTGTAGACATGCAATCTTCCAGGCTTCTGGGTGCTCTGGAATATTTCCCTTTCTTCTCAAACTTCCCATCTCCTTATCCATTTCCCCTCACCCTAATATTTTAATTGAAACTCAGAATTTTAGAGGTGAAAGGACCTCCTCTGGTGTCCAGAGTCTGGCCTGATCATCCCACAGATGGGGAAACTGAGGCACAGAGTGGGCAGTGCTCTCCCTGAGGCTGTTCAGCAGACCGTGGCAGAGCAGGCCTCAGGTGCAGGTCCCCCGGTGCCCACCCACTGCCCTGCCCGCCTTCTCTGTTCTGCGGTGATCTCTAGTCAGCCTTCGGCAGGGACTTCCTATGCGAGGGGGGCACGAGGTGGGAGGGCAGGCTGTTGGGAAGCTCGTAGCCGTCAAGCTTGATCTTGATGAGGTGCTTGGCCAGCGCAAACTCCTCCTCGTCCAGCATGCCGTCACAGTCACAGTCGGCCAGCTTCCAGATCTTGCCCAGCACGCTGTTGGGCAGCTTGGAGGTCACCATCTCCTTCTTGGCATTGACGCCTGTGATCTTGCCGTTGATGGGCGACAGGGTGTAGAAGAGCTCGTCGTAGATGGGCTTGTCTTTGGCCACAACCCACTCCTCCTCGTCGGCGCCCTCCTTGGCCCCCTCCCCATAGCCCTGGTTGAAGGGACCCTCGGTGGTGCCGTCGAAGGCGCCGCCCTGCACCATCTGCGTGGGCATGCTCATCTCCTCCTGCGTGATGAGGCTCATGAGCGATGAGATCTTGCTGGTCAGCATGTTGTCCACAGCCTCGATCAGTTTGGGCTTCAGCGAGTGGAATTTGGAGAAGTCATAGTTCTCAAGCTGTTCCTGCAGGAGGAGAAATGCAGACCTGGTGACGTGTTCTCTCTTCAGGAAGAAATAGGCAGGGCAGCTGGCAGGAGACAAACTCCCCCCACCCACCCTGTGCTCTTCCGTGGGGTCCCCACCTCCAAACCCACTGGATGCAGTGGTTTTTGGAGGGAGAAATTGCATGAATGCATTGTGTGTGGCCTTTTGTACTTAGAATTTTGAGAAAATCATTTTTTACCTGTCTCTCTTTTTGAATACTCTAGACATCACCACAGGCTTCCCCTGAGCCACACCTTTCCTAGGTAGGGAAGGATGGCACTATTCTCAGCCTTGTTTTACCAAGAGCCACACAATGTCCCTGACGGAGTCAAGGCCAGGGCCCACACCTCCTGGCTCTCCACTAATGCTTTGCTGGCTGGGACAGAGGGACTATATCTGGGAAAAAGTACTTAAGAACTCTGTTTTGGATCAGCTAAAAAGAAAGAAAGTAAAAGATACAACAACAAAAACTCTAACACAGTTTAGGGCACTAATCTCTTACGAATGAGCCCCAAATGCTGCTCCAGTAGAGAGAGACCCTTGTAGGATCAGCCCAACTGAGGCACAGCTGGGCCAGGAGCATGGGAATCTTACAGATACAGAGTAATAACAAACAGCCATCATTTCGTAAGTGCGGGCGTACATTTCCAGCCATTTACACACACACACACACACACACACACGCGCGCGCGCGCGCACACACACACTCTTTACTAATACCACAATGATACACAATCTGTATTTTAAAGAAATGTGTCAACTATCAGAGTAATAACAAACAGCCATCATTTCGTAAGTGCGGGCATACATTTCCAGCCATTTACACACACACACACACACACACACACACACACGCGCGCGCGCGCGCACACACACTCTTTACTAATACCACAATGATACACAATCTGTATTTTAAAGAAATGTGTCAACTGGGCATGGTAGCACAGGCCTTTAATCCCAGCATTGTGGGAGGCTGGGGGTAGAAGGATCAGAAGTTCAAGCCTAGCATGGGTAACTTAGTGATTTAGTGAGACCCTGTCTCAAAGTTTAAAAAGGTCTGGGGATATAGCTCAGTGTGAAGTCCCTGGGTTCAATCCCCAGTACTGGAAAAATAGTATCATATTGTCTATGATGGTTATTTTTTATATAATCTTATTCTTAGTAGCTCCATAACATTTAACCATCTAGAAGGGCCATTTCTCCTTCACCTTGTTCCCTGTAGTTAAGATGTAGGGGTTGTTGCCATGGAGATCCAAAACTGTGGTCCCTAGGATGTGTGGTAGGGGAGGAATTCCATGCTGACATTCACAAAGGCCACCCTGAGCTTCAGACTGTGGAGAGACACAGCTGGAAGCCAGCCAGCCTGGCATGTCTCTACAGAAGGCCTCCCACACTGCCATCAGGACCTGCGGAATTGGTATGAAACTCCAGGGCTGCCTGTGTCCTCCTCTGAGGAGTGGGGTAGAGCAGGCCTGCTCTGTGAAGGGAATTCTGGTTCCCCTGTCCTTCATCCTCACTAGCAGATTATTGTCACCAGCTTGTTAGCCTCAACCTTGGCATCAGGCAATAATGCCAGATTGTCAGCCAGGGGTTTGAAAAGAATGAGGAGAGGAGGAGGTGGAGGAGGAAGAGGAAGAGGAGGCAGCAGCCTACACAAAAATCCCAGTGCTGTTGGGTAAAGGCTGGGTCCCTGGCACATGAACACCCATCCCTCTTGCTCAGGAGCACGCCTGAGCTGCGAGCACATGAAGTCCTGTGTCTGGCCAGGTGGAAACGTGGGATGCCTACCCTAGTACTCAACCAGCTTACAGGGTCAGAGATTCTGATGGCACATGCTTGGGAAACTGACGGGGGAAGTGTACACAGATTTGCAGGGCTGGTCAGAGAACAGCTGCTACTCCTACTCTGCAGAGCACAAAGGATATAAACCCTACATGCCCGTCCCTGTGGTCTCCATCAGCCTGAGCTGTGGGAGGCCTGGCGTTCAAGTTAAACCATCATTGTCCAAAACAGAAGCCTTTTTATGGGATGACTGCACACTGGGGAGTTGGAGGACTAACCCATTAACAACTACCCACCAAGCCCAGGATCCATGGGATTGCTGCTTCCCAGGGCACAAAGCTCAGTTCCCAGCCCAGCCCCCGCTGGCTGGGCCACCATGGGCCTAGTCTTTCCTGGTCACCAGGAGTGGTGGTCAAGTGCACAGGAGGGCCAGGGCAGATGAGGGCTGTTCTGCTGCCCTCTGCTGTAGACATGCTGCCAGCTCATCAGTCAAGGGTCACACTGTCCTGGGAGGTGAGTCAGAGTAAAGGTGGCATCCCTAGGGCTCTTGTCATGCTGAGGTATTGCCACATATGTGCCAAAAGTCAGATGTCCTGCAGGAAGGGGGCAGGGCAGATGAAGGCAACCTGGGGAGCAACTGCGGAGCCTGTCCTACCACTGGGGAAGCCTCAAAATGCATGTTTAGCTCATTCAACAGCTGAGTCACCCTGACCAGACCGGTCCTGAGGGGCCTGGAGAATACTTAGAGCTGGTTTCCACAAGTTCTCCAGGTAAACCTGATGGGGTGAAGTTCATGACACAGTCATCTCTGAGTTTCTGTCCCTGCCTCTACACTGGACCCAGGTGAGATCACATGGAGGGTGTTAGATTCTCACCAGAGTCAGGACGGGAGCGGCCCTCACCTCACCATGCCCCCAGAGCTGAAGCACAAAGCACAGGGGACAGTGGGCACTCTGGATGGGCCACTGGCCCATCTCACACCACAGGATTCTCCGATGGCCCTGGATGGTACGGTCAGGACCCAGCTGGCTTCCCAAGGAGAAATCTTTCAGCTTCTAGGGTTATGATCGGGAAACCCCTGGTCGCTAAGCCCTTTGGGGTTCAGACCTGGGCTAAGGTCCAATAACTCACTTCACTGGAGCTGCCATCACATGGACATAAGTCACTAAGATGCGCTCAGCGTGTACTCCTTGAGCAGCCCTACATCCTGGATGCTGAGGAAGTTGGAGAACAGGACATGGGCCACTGGACTCATGGAGTCACAGCCTTCTGAGGGAGACAGACAGGAAATGATGTCATTGATTACTCCGAAGCACACAGCATTCACACTGTGGCAAGAAATGTGTGACCCAACAACAGACCCTGCTGCCCGAAGCCTCACTGCCAGTGTCACGATGTGAAGACTAAGTTATTTCTAGCCTCATTCGTTCATTTTGTTCATTGGTTTATTCCCAGGACTGAAAACAGTGTCCGGCTGTGGCAGGCTATTTCATTTCTTAGATGAAGGAAGAAGTGGACAGAAGTGACCAGGTGCTACGGGACCTGCTAGGGGACAGGGGCCTCTCAATACAGCCGGACCCTTCCTGTGCCCTCCTGCTCCAGAAATGAGGGTTCCCTCGCGTCTTTTCCCAGGGAACACCTCTCTGCCCTAGCTCTAGTGGCCTGGGTTCTATGACACCACCAGGCCCAGGCTAACTGCGTCAGAAGTAGCTCTGGTCCTGGAGTTGGCTCCCTACCCCTGGGCCTCAGGAGAAGCCTCTTCCTGTGGCTGGTACACGGTGACAACACAATCATGCTAAGGAGTCACAGAGGGCTCCATGAGGTCCATGCTGGGTATTTTCTCATGATCTTCATTTAAGTTGAGACACCAAGCTCCTATCCAACTGAAGTTCCCTCTACAAGACACAGGAAACAGCTTGATCATACTGACCAGAGCATCCGCCTGAGCCCAGGTGTAAAGAACTGTCCCCAGAACAGCCCCTTTCATCCTGTGCTTGCGTTGATCCAGAAAGCTCACATTACCAAATACTTCCTTTCGAACAAAACTCCTGCTGCCATCCCCACCTGCTGGCCCTCGCCTCTGCTAATGCTGTGGCCCCTATTCCTCCCCACAGCAGGGACCAGCAGGGACTTGAGGCCCAGATGTCCTGCTGCTTCGGTGACATCACCGAGGGCTTGGGGCAGCTGTGATGGAGACCTCAGGGCACAGTAGCTGTGCAGATGGCCTTTGTTTGGCCTGTGTAGTTTTTGAAAGTTTGAGTCAAAATTTGAAAGCCAGGTGCTTTTCCACACAAATCTAGATTCTCTTTGACCACGTAGGCCTGTATTCCCTCAGGGCAGTGACCCTGGCTGGACACTCTCCCCACCAGGGGCCCACAAGCTCCATGGCAGGGGCAGAACTGTGTCCTCTCTGTACAGACCCACATGCCCGTCAGATGACGTGGTCAGCAAGGGCCGGCAGCGCTCTTCTGCCTGGCCGGCTTTACTTGGTCACAATACTGGCAGGTGGCTGCAAGCACCTGAGCTGTTGTCACCTGCTTTACAGAAGAACAGTGGCTGAGTGTGGATGGATGCTCATCTGGATGAGAAGACAGTTGGTCCAGCTATGAGGACTGCCCCCAACCTGCAGCCAGTTGGCCGTCTTGGGAAAGCATGCTTATCCAGTGTCTCTGTGGGGCACCAGACACCTTGGGCACAGCAGGAGCTGAATGCAGCCCCGGCCCAGCTGAGCTGGGACCACCCAGAATCAACTTGAGAGAGGCTCTGAAATAAGGCCAAAAGCCAACAGTGCCAGCCTTTCTGCAGAATCCTTGCTGTGTCCTGCAAAGACCAGCCAGGTCCACAGAGCCCCACAGCCCTGACAAGGCCACCTGAGCACCAGCAGGCAGAGGAGGTCCCCCAATGTGACCTTGAGGCCATGCCCAGCTCTGATTCCCTCAAGGTGCAGGATTCTGAGGAACAGGTGTTACCTCAGCAGCAAAACCACTTCCTTGAGCACAGTCTGAGGGTTGCTCACTGATTTTCCACAGGAGGCACTGACCTTTCACTATGTGTCCTCTTTTCCTTACATGTTCTAGAAGGCAGGCAGTTTCAGCTTCATCTAGGGGAATACATTCTTACATTCTCCTTGATTCTAAACCGTGAGCCTTCCTGTGTCCCACCGTGTCTCCCTCCTGTCCTCTGAAATGTAGTGGGCTCCCAGTTACCTGCATTGCCTTGACCTCAGGGAAGTCCCCTGCAGAAATCTGGTATTCTCGCTGCAGCTGAAGGTAGATTTCTGGGAGCCTGACGATAAGTTCTCGCTTCTTGTTTTCCTTTCCAAACACATTTGGCATCTCCTTCTTCAGGTAGCTGATGATGTAGGCGTGTACCTGAAAGGGGATGTGAGGTGAAGATGTGCTATTCAGAACTGCTCCAGGGAAGGGACAAACAACACGGCATCTTACATGTGTCACAGAGCAGGTAGCCACACAGTGCTGTGGTCCTCAAACACAGGAAGGAGCAAGGACCAGGGAGCAGGCTATCAAGGGGACTGGGTGTACATCCAGAGCTCCTGGGTGCTGGGCAGGATGATGGGTCTGAGAACTGAGGTGGAGGGCAGGGGCCAGAGCCAGGGAGGAAGCCACAATCATTCAGGGAGAGCGGACAGAGAGAACACCACCACCAAGTGCTAGGGGCAAGAGGAGCCAGAAAGACTCTTGGAGGTGGAATGTGACAGGTAAGTGTCAGTGGGACAACAGACCAAGGGAAAAGGTGACATCGAAGTTGGCCTTGAAGAACAGACAGGATGTGCAGCCAAGGGGAGGAACGGACCATTCCAGGTGGAGGAAACAGCGTGGACCGTGGTGAGGTGCAGCATCTTTGGGACAATGTCATAGATGTGGTTTGGAAGGTGGGGAGAGTGAGCTGCATAGAGACTCTGCTCAGAGGGTGTTAGGAGCCAATATAGGATTTAGGCCAAGGCTCTGCTAACCCAGTGATGGTGCTGGGGCATCAGAGAGGGCAGAACAATGCTGATAGCAACCTGCATCCCAGGTGGGCTGTGAGGCTTGGCTGGGGACAGACTGGGCAATGTGGAATGGTACAGAGGCTGTCCCTTATCCTGAATCATCCTCTCTGGGCAGGACAACTGACCTGGGGAAATTTCATGAGTCCGGCTCAGTCCTGCCTCCGTGTGGTGACTCTGGGGCTGGGGTAGGGAGTAACACACAGGTGTGGGACAGACCTGAGTCAAGGCGAGCATCTAACCAGAAGACAGATGAGAAAGTTTCACCTGGTCCTGGGAGCAACAGGAAGTAAAACTGGATGCTGATAGCAATGGCTGATCTTCATGAAACCTGCCTAGTGAGCAAGGAGACGGGAATGCCACACCCCTCTGTGGGCAGTTCAGATGCCAACATCTCCACAGGTGGCACCAAAGCCATTTCTGCACCAGGTTAGTCACCTGGGACTACACTGTTGGCAGGAAGTCCCCCTGGGGAGGAATCTAGGTGCATGAGGGAGAAGCCCCAGAAACTGATCACCAGACTACGCTGGGCAGGAAGTCCCCCTGGGGAGGAATCTAGGTGCATGAGGGAGAAGCCCCAGAAACTGATCACCTGGAATGGCCTGGACTGTCACCTGAGGGGCAACACCCTGCTGCAGGGCTGTGTGGCCTGGTTTACCCCCTCCCTCAACATTTCTACTCTCCCACTCATTCCCAGTTCAGGACGAGATGAAATGTTTATCACAAAACTTTTCTGTGGGCCTCAAAAGTCAAGTAAATTACTAAAATAAGAAGGGATGAAAAATGGAGCAGAGATCACAAAAGAAAAATGACAGTGTAGCTATGGAAAACCCTATTAAAGGGAATAGACCACCACAATCTTGTGGGAGAACAGAAATTAAATAAAGGGGAGAGGGCCTGGGATTTAGCTCAATGGTGCCGCCGCCTGCCTCACAAGTGCAAGGTCCCGAGTTCGATCCCGGTATCCAAAATAATAAATAAATAGAATAAAAGGGATAAGTGGATATGTTCTCCAGCTCAGCCAAGGGCCTCTGTGGATGGGAACACACTGGACAAAGCCAGAAATGTTTGCTAAGCTGAGAGGCACATGATGCAAGCAGATGTAGCAGGGACAAGGCTAACTCTTCTATCTTCGCAAAGCCCATCCCAGCATACACACAGGGCTGCTGGTGACTAAGTGCTGAAAGCACAGAACTAGAGAGATGGTTCCAAATCTTTCCATCAATTGCATCCTTGTTTCTTTTTCTTTTCTTTTTTAAATAGAGAAGCCCAATGTTTGGGAACCCTTTACTTAGAATCCTGGGCTATAATGACTGAGTCTTAAGAGCTAGTGCCTTGCCTCGGGTGGTGACTGCCTGGTGAGGAATGGGTGGGGCTGGGGGAGCCCCAGGGACCTGCAGGACTGCCACACTCCAGTGGGAAGATCCAGATGATCACCAGCTGCCGCTGCATTGTACTCTTGGCACAATCTTTCTGGAAACTGTGGCCTGGCCCAGGTCTGCCTAGCTCAAATCTGGGCAGGGAGGCTCCTAGCTGCCTGGCCTCCCACCACAAGACCTTCTTACTGAGAACCCTTCCCACCATTTCCAGAGGCCCCAAGGCCCTCTGAGACATTGCTCAGCTGTTCAGGGAAGGCTTCTGCTCCTTTCTCTGGCTCACTCTCACCCAGCCCCTGCCCCCTAGGCTGGGCACCTGATCCTGATCACAGGCCTGCCAGGACCTGTGTAACCTAGGCTGAACTCAGGTGATCTGTGCCTGCTACACCTCTCCACCTACTCTGACACCTCATGGCATTTGCCCGCTGATGACTGAGGCTGCTGGGTAACTGGGCTGCCCTTGGACAACTGGGCCTCCAGTGCCCCAACACACTCAGAGGCAGCTCTCGGACCAGGTGTTAGCTTCCCCCACCTGCCTGGTGCTACCTGGGTCATGACCCTCGGGGACCTACTCATACTGCTGTGAGCCCATTCCTACTTCCAGGAAGCCCACTGGTCGGTGTGGAAGCCCCTGTGGGCCTCCGGTGAATGGCTGCCTTTCGACAATTGCCCAGGCTCAAATTTCATGTGGGAGCTCTGGCTTTAAAAAGTTGATTAAGTAAATTAGGGTCTTAAGAGTATTGGATATGGAAGGGACACTCTATCTAATTGAACTCCTAGTTCTAGGAATTTCATACACCTTCCTCAGGGTCACACAGACAGTTGGGAGGCATGGGGCTGTCACCCAAATGCCTTGTTCCCATCCTTACAGAATTATTTTCTGTGGGTATGAGTTAAAAACTTAGTGAAGATGGGGTTGAGGATATAGCTTGAGTGTAGAGCACTGGCCTAGCATGTGTGAGGCCCAGTATTTGACCCCCTAGCACTAAACAAAAATATTTCATTGAAGCTGTTTAAAATCTGGAATTCAAAAATGAACTATAACTCACAGAACAATAGTTCTGAAAATTGATTCAGGGTTTGACTTCTGATTGTTCCTCATTTGTGGGAATTTTAGAGAGGACGTTTACTCCCTTTGCCCACACACCAAGATGGCTACGTCATGGCATACAGACACAGGGCTGCCACACAGGAATGTGATGAGAGGCTGCGATCTTCCAGCAGGCAGCACCTTGTCACTTTCTAAAGACACTTGGTAAGCATGGGGGATGGGCTAAATGGCGCAGGTCCACGGGTGATGTCAAAGCTCACTGCTGCCCTTCTGTTCAGAGACACACAGACCTGAGGGCCACCTGGAGATGGCCCTGTGCAAGGAGGGGAGACAGCCCGAGACTGTCCTTTATGATAAAGAGAATTAATAAAGGGGGAGAAGGAAAGAAGAGTGTTCAGAAAGAGAAGGAGGAGGGTGGCGGCTGGGCCCTGGTGATGAAGAGCAGGCCCAGGCCAGTCAGCACTCTGGACACTGAGGCCGTCACAGGCCTCACCTCACCTCACCTCACCCAAACATTGGAATGCTTATCTCACACAGTTATTACGAGGCTCTGCTCAGAAATGATGCCCTGAAATGAGCCTGGTCTACTAGAAAGGGAAAGGTAAGTGTTACTTGTTATGAACTACTAGCCTAAGGCTAATAGCTGGAGGAGCACAGCTGCCAGAGAAGGCTCTGGTTCTTTACAGAGGAACCAACACATTCTGTTTGAACAGTAACACAGTGAAATTGGGTTCCAAGTGCCTAATTCACAAGGGAATGACACTGACCTCTGCGCATTTGAACATTCTTGTTTTGCTATTCATCCTTTTTCTTGTATAAAATTGGAAAAGCCCCAAATCACCTAATAGTGATGCCTGAGGTTAAATCCAATGGCTCAAAATGACCATTTTTCTCTAAGCTAATAACTCAGTGAGCAGAAAGCACTTTTTTTTTTTTGGTACTCGGGATTGAACTCGGGTCCTTGTGCTTGTGAGGCAGACGGCAGAACCACTGAGCTAAATCCCCAGCCCTCAGTGAGCAGAAAGGGATATCCCTCCTTTTAACTGGGTAAAGATTGATGTATAGTTCATATATCCTCCGATACAAATCTCATCATATGTGTCTAGTGCAGGGTGTGAGTGTGCATGGGCATGTGTGTCTCCAAACTGAGAAGCGTGTGCTAAGGAGACAGCCTGGCTCCAGTCACCTAGACTGAGAAGCAACACCTGGGCCCTAGAAGGGGCAGTTACCGGGTGGAACAGATTCCTCCATCAGCTGTGGCTCTCAGGTGGGAAGGCAGGTTAGATACCCTGCCGTTCATTTGCAGACTTAAAACATTGGTGGGGACCTGAAAAAAAATTTTTTTTTTGGTACCTGGGATTGAACTCCTAACCTTGCATTTGAAAAGCAGGTGGTAGAACCGCTGAGCTAAATCCCCAGCCTGGGACCTGAATTTTTATAAGACCGGCTAGAAACTTGTACAGAACACTTAAAATCAGGGCATCAGCACATTTAAGAGGTGGGCTTGTGATGACATGAACAATTCAGTTAATAGCCAGGTGTGGTGGTGTATGCTTGTAATCCCAGCACTCTGGGAGGCTGAGGCAGGAAGATCATTAAACTGGAGTCCAGCATGGCCAACTTAGCAACTTAATGAGGCCCTGCCTTAAAATAAAAAATTAAAAAAGGACTGGGGATATGGTTCAATGTGAAGACCCTGAGTCAATCCCCAGTATTGAAAAAAAATTCAGTAGAGCAGAGAGCACAAAGGTGAGCCCACCGGGTAGTAGGAGTGTGAGACTGGAAGAGACAGAGATGGCAGCTAATTGGTCCCTACTTGAGGAAGTGTTTGTCACTGTATTCAGACCAAAGCTGGCCCATATGGCTCTTGTGATTCACAACAGCCTTAAAGGGACTTAAGGGGGCTACTGAGGCATCTGAGGTCAACCTGCAGAGCGACAGGCTTCCATATATGGGCACAAACACTGCCATCTCCAGCAGCTCGGCTGCCGACTGGGCTATTTTTAAAGCATCAAGGTGGATAAACAATAAAGAGCTCACCCCACCCAGCACACAGCAATCCTCCCACGCTGAGCCCTGGTCTATCCCACGGGTCCAGAGTGCTTCACTTCTCCTCGGGAGCAGGGAAGACGGGCTCTGCAAGACCCATGTGACTGAGAGAAAAATGCATTTGGAAGACAAAACAATTCTACTGAACTACAGCGAACCCTCAAAATCACTGAGCTCTCCATTCTGTTCTCATTTTTCACTGGTTCCTTTCTCAAATACTACCTCATTTTTTGTTGAGTGAGGATCTCCAAGTGGGTGGGACATTTCCTAATCTTGGGTAATGTGTTTATTGAGGGTAAACTCACCTCCCTTTTTACTTTGGTCCATTTCTCCCATATGATGATTTTGATTTCCACAAGTCTGATTAGAGTTTTCTGAAGAAAACTCACTTACATTTGCAAACCCTCAATCAGGCTTTCCCCCACACCTCATTCTGAGCAACTCCCTGACAGGGAGTTTAGAGAGTGAAGTCTTCATGCAGGCTGACTGCCAACACCACAAGACCTGATCTCTGTGCCTTGCCAAGCCCACTCTGAGATTTTCTGGTTTTGAGACAGATAGTTGTAAAAAAACAAAAAAACAAAAAAACAAAACAAAACAGAAAAGACAGAGCCAGGTAGAGAGAGTGGTGAAGGCCTGTAATCCTTGCACTTGGGATGCTGAAGCAGGAGGATCGAGAGTTTGAGCCAAGTCTAGGCTACATAGCAAAATTAAGGCCAGCCTAGACAATAAAGCAAGACCCTACCCCCTTAAAAAAAAAAAAGAAGTCATTTAATTTTGGCAGTAGTACTTAGTTTTAGTATTATCACAGTATCATCTTTGTGACACCTTAATTAAAATGAGGACATGCTTGCTTTCTTTCATGGATTCTGCTTAATTACAGTGTTCTATAATCAGACTCAATTCAGGTCTGTCACTGCTTAGGTGACATCTGAAAAGTAGTCCTGTGCCTGTTTTCAAAATCTCAGATCAACAAACCTCTCAGCTGTATAGGGTTTCCGTGGGTGGAGGATTTTTTAGAACAGAATGACAGATTAGTAATGCAGAAGCAAGGATGTAAGGAAGGAGCTACTGCGATCTGCAAGCGGGTGTTTTCTGGACCTCGCAGTCTGATGGCCTGGACATGGAATGTATACAGGTATTTTGTGATCTGCAGGCTGTGAATATCAGGCATGTTACCCTGCCTTTACAAGTGTCAGGCCTGCATGTCTAAAATGAGGCTAAGGGTGCTGGACTCTGTGGTTACTGACAGAATCAAACAAAATAACACATGTAATACAAACTGGAGCACTACTGGCTTCAAAAGGAAAACTAGATCAAGAGGAGAAAGATTAATACACTAAAATGAAAGCCTGTAATCCCAGTGACCTGCAGGCTAAGAAGGAGGATTTTGAGTTTGTAGCCACCCTGGACTACACAGTGAGATTGTCTCAAAAAAAAAAAAAAAATCCTAAACTATTTTTAAAAAATAAAACACTCCAAAGGGAAAAGCTCAGGTGACTGCTTGTCCTTTGAAGCAAAAACAAGGTTCACAAATGAAGCCTAAAGCTGCAGGCAGAGGGCTAGGGGATAGCTCAGTGGCAGAGTGTGGTGCCCAGGATGTGCAAGGCCCTGGGTATGGTCCCCACTATAAAAGCCTGCAGATGGTCTAAAGTGAGTGCCACTAGTTAGTGACCAAATCTGTGCTCAATTCTGCTTCTCATGTAGCTGAGCTTGCTTCCTGTCTTGCTGATCAGCATGGCACTGGCCCCTGAGCAACTGGCACTGAGAAGCTAAAGCTAGAAGTACTGCGCCTCAAACATTTTTTTTCAAATATTTTTTCCTTTGTGAAAAGGAACAAGCCAGATACTATTCTTAGGAAGCAAAGAAATGCAAGCGATTTTCCTATAAGTAAGCTCAGCAAGTTTGACCACCCCCTTCCCCATCTGCACAAGGGTTTTCATTATTCACAGACAGCATAGAGAGCCATATTCTGTGCCTCTTGAAACATTAGCTGCACTGGCGCATCTGAAGGCAGATGCTCCAGGGTGGCAGGACCCCAGGGGTTATGGTACTTGGTACTTTGAACCTGCTCTTTGTTCCTTACTCAGTTATATGACCAAATACAGCTGCTTCTTGAGTCTCCAAGTCCTCAGCAATGACTGGCAAATTAAAAATGTCCATGGGCATTTAAAATTAGTGGCAAAAAAAGCTGAAAATTTGCAAAAGCTATGACATGAGTTATGGCTTTGGTTCTAAAGCAACATGAGCGGTTGCATATTCTGAAGTTAAACTAAAGGAGGGAGATACCACACGCCATGGGGGTCACTGAAGGGACAAAAAAGGCCCTAAGCATTGCCACTAAGCATTAGGCCCAGGAAGCTCAAGAAGGAGATAATTTGGGTGAACCACAGGCAAGCGGATTTACAAACCAGTTAGCATAACTGCCTTGCAGGACAGGAACAAAGTGGCTTGCAGTTCCAGAAAGAGAGGAAGCAGCTTGCACCAGGAAGAAAGGATAAAGAACAGTGACTCACACAAGAACTGTGTGACCTCAGCTTAGCTGAGTGACATGGGAGGAATTCATGTGCCTGTACCAGTTCAGGAGGTGAGCAGACAGAAAACAGGATGGAGGACCTAGGGATGGGGCGATGGCAGCCAGGGATGTATCTCTTTTGATACAGAAGAGATGCTACCATGGGTATGAAGATGGCTGCTAAGGAGAAAGGAGGAGAGGTTGGGGGGCTTGTGCTCTCCCGACTGTTACTCCTGGGGCAACTCTGCCTGCCTATCCCCAGTGGGCACCTCATCGCCCCTGTGGAGAACCCACAGTAAGTGTCTCAACTTCGACTGGCACACAACTCCCCACTCCTCCTCCCTGAGGCACTCCTCAGCCCTGCTCGCTGCTGAGTCCTCTTGGCTGAATGAGGCACAGAAGGCTGATCTCAGTGCTGGGGCCAGGCAAAAACCAGGAGAAGCTAGACTGACCTCACTTCCTGACCAAATCCCAGTGAGCCTAGAGAGGCGGCCTGTAGACTGGCATGAGCAGAAGGCTGGGCTGCTGGCCAGGCAGCTGATGTTCAGTTCCAGGCTTGTTGTCGTGAATGGACTCGGTAGAAAGCCCTCGGTCTACATTGCTTTGTAAATGGAGTCAGCACAGGCCTCTGGATCCCACACTTCACTGGTCCTCAGTCATCAGAATGCATCTCTTTTGACATGGGAGAGTTGACGTGCACACTCATAGGGTCACACAGGGACAGGTTTCCGAGGACTGGCCAGGTCTGTGACTCTGGAAATGCTTCCAGCATTGCAGGACAATGATTTCACTGTATACAGTGATTTCATGCACTGTATACAGATTCTGTGCACTGTATACAGGGTTCTAAAAAGCCCTGTTTTCCTTATACTTCCCCTTGGAGGAGTGGCATGCTTTTCTCTCTTCAGAGACAGGACTGACGGCTGCTTGAGGACTGCAGATTGCCGGCCATCCCACAGGGCACATATGCCAGGGCCTGCCAAGAGGCTGGGCTAGCACCAGAACATATGGCTGTGCAGCCACAGCACGGAAAGGAGACAGGTGTGTCCCTGAGCCAGCGTGTGCTCTGGGTCAGGCAGGCCGACTCCCTCCCAGGGCTCCTCTGTGATCAGGAGCTCACCTCGAGCCTTAGATGAGTGGCTCCTGGGGTGGCCTCTCAGCACCCAGGTGGTTCCCCCAGGCCACCTCCTAAGCACAGCTTCTAAGCAGCAACTGCCCTAAATGGCCCCACCTTGTGGGCCAGGGCCTCTGCCAAGCACTTTGTCATGGTGGTAAGGGTTCATACTGAACCCTCAGAAGCCTTCTATGAAGCTGTCCTCGCTGGCTCCAGTGTAAAACTGGAAAACAAGTTCTCAGGGGCCAAAGACCTTGGCCCAAGGTCACAAAGCAGGAAATGGAATGTACGGAGGACTCCCCATCTTACCCTGGCTCACATGCCATCCTTAGGCCTCTGGGATGGGGCACCCCCTGCCCAGGCGCTGACCTGGGAGTCACTGGCTTACCTTGGCCAGCCGGGCTCGCTTGATGAGGTCATTGAGTTTGCGCACTGCGGCTTTCTGGGGAAGACTCTGGATATCTCTAAAGAGATCCTGGGCCTCGGCCTCAAAGAGCCGGCGGTTGTCTGTGTTCTGCAGGGGCTGTGCCCAGAAGGAGCCGATATAGACCCGCAGCACTTCAGGAGTATTGATGACCTTGCCCAGGGACCACATGAGGGCCCCGTAGACCCGCATCAGCTGCTGTGTGTCCACTTGGTCGGCTTTGTTCAGCACCACACGGATCTTGTCATCCTGGCCCCGGAAAGCCTTGATGGCCTCTGAGAACTCATCTGAGATGTCCAGTTTGTGGGCATCAAAGAGCAGGATGATCCTGTCGACCCGCTCAGCAAACCACTGCAGGACCTGGCAGAAGTCATACCCTGGGTGGAGAGAAGACCATGTCAGTGTGTCCAACAGCTCTGGGGTACAAGGTTATGGGGGTGTTCAGGAAGTAATGTGGGCTCCATCAGCCGCTAAGGAGAAAGCCTCAGTTTGAAGTTGGAGGCAACAGAGGCCGCATGACCTGAAAAATCATTTAAATGGGGCTCCCTGGTTAATGCTGGGGATCTGGGGAGATCATTGGTGGAAAGGAGAAGGGAATAAAATGGGGCTCCCAGTCACTTGATCAAGCACTGCGATCCATCTAGTGCTTGTGAGTCTGATTAACCCAGGGCAGTCTTTTCATCAGGGATCAGTCTTTCCACAGCTCTGTGGAAGCACCAGTCATGGGGAAACGCTTACTCCTACCAGGGCCCCCTCTTCCAAAAGTCTCCGAGAGGAAAAAAAAAAAGACCCTGAAAACTACTTGGTGTCCCAAAGGGTACCCAGCAAGCACAGGAGAGGAGGAATTAGCCTGTCATAACCCACAATCATAGTGTTGAGGAAGTCAAAGGTTAGCCTGGTCAAAGCTGTGACTGATATTTATCATCTTATGGGCTATCTATAGCTCATGTGTTATAAATGTTTAAAAATGATGTCTCATAGCCATTCTGTGACATAGTTCTTTGCCAATTTCTTTTTTAAAAATAGGCCTACAACAAATTCCATTGAGCCCACTTTGGCAACCTACCAATATGCTCCAAACCAAGAAGCTAAATAAATGTTTTAGCCCAAGGTCAAGACTTTGAGGTCCTTTCCCAGGGAGGCAGATTCCCAGGAGTTGCAAATGAGACAGAGCCGGTCCCCCAAAGTTTATTTCATCTCAGACTGATTAGCTGTAGAAGCCCAGACTGAGGGGCTTTCTTGACCCCTTCTCCATTGGTGTTTCCCCTTTCTTCTCCACTCTGAAAACTTGCAAATGTATCAAAATCTAGAGAATAACATAATGAATGCTGATGGACCTAACCTGGTAATGGTAACAAATTTTGACCTAGTGCCTCCTTTACTTCAGATGCTTTTCGACAACAAGCCTAATTTAAGATTCAGATTAAAAGGGGCTGGGGATTTAGCTCAGTGACAAAAGACTTGTCTAGCAAGAGTGAGGCCCTGGGTTCAGTCCTCAGCACCAAAAAAAAAAAAAAAAAAAAAAAAAAAAAAAAAAAAAAAAAAAAAAAAGGCAAAAAGC